TTTTTTTTTTTTTTTTTTTTTTTTAAATTTTAATTTAAAAAAAAGCAAAAACAGTTGTTGGGTAGGCCATGTGCCTAGAGCCTAGGCTATTTGAATTCGTTGTTGTTCGATTATATTGTAATTTCATTTCATTTTATGCTCAGTCCGTGCCTTATTTATCGTCGTAAAAAAAAAAAGATAAAACTAAATAATAAATGAAATTAACTATGTGATACGTGTGTTAAACACTTTTGTATGTTAATCCGTATTTCATTGATTTAATGATTGTTCACAATTCGCCATATGCCTATGCATCATTTGCTGGGGTTTTTAAGCTGGCCTACCAAGACCAAGGCAGGTCATAACTCTTTTGGGTTATGGTCTACTCTGGTCAAGTTTAGACGCCGTGACCTTATTTTACTATCTCTTATCTGGCGCTCAAAGTTTCTCTTACCACTGGATAGTCGATTAAAAAAAATAAGTGAAGACTTTTTAAAACAATTACAGCTCGAATAACTGAACACGATGCATTAAAGTAACAAATGCTAAGAATATGATTTAACATGGAAGCTATATATAACTACTTAATTGACCATTCGTATTGTTTTTTTACCAGAACACTATTGACACTACTGTTTTTTTTTTTTTTTTTTTTTTTTTTTTTTTTTTTTTTTTTTTTTTTTTTTTTTTTTTTTTTTTTTTTTTTTTTTTTTTTTTTTTTTNTAACAAAGCGTTAGTGCATCTGATATCAAGGCATGAATCAATAATTTGTTTTTAAATTTTAATTACAAAAAATAATATTAGCCCAAAATTCATACAAACTAACATAAACTACTAGTTTTTTACTCTCAAAGCATCGCTTCTCAGACAGAAGAGATCTTAGTGTAACCACAACAACAACAACAAAATTTCTTTAACACAAATGGTATCACTATTATTGTAAATTTCCTGGTTTTAAATATGTGTGTGTGTGGGGGGGGGGGATAAACAACAGAAAAAACGGTTACAACTGGCTTTAGGGAGGGGTTCGGAGAGATGGTTCGCCGGGGGGTGGGGGGGGGAGAGGGGGCATTGATAATTATTTGTTACCTATTTTTTTTAATAAAAAGGTGTATTAGGCGTAAGCAAATTATTCACATATATTTGTAAGCATGTCATGAAAGTCCCTCCCATTCAAAACACATAACGGATAGTACCATAGGTATAATTGAAGGACACATTCTTATAAAAATGTTTAGCAAAATATTTTTTTAAAAGGAAGAGGTTTTAAGCGATATCCTCGTAAAACTTAACCAAGGGAAGTCAATCTCAATTAGTGTAATAAAGTAAACTCCCCTTTAATTGTGAAACATGGCCGCTTTTGTTGACGAAAAAACCAAGAAGTAAGCATTTATCTTTCATACATGCTTGTTGTTCAATTCTCTTTTGTATTCTCAGTTGTATTTTTTTTTTGCCATTGCTTTCCTGTTTCAAAGCATATAACATTTCTAAGCTTGTTCATTATTATCGGCTGCTTAGTACTAGGTACACAAACCACACTTAGCCAGTCTGACTGAGTCAACACGTCGTCAATCGTCACACCCACAAATGACGTTACTGCACACCAATCAGCTCAATTTTCTGTCATAGTCATCATAATTATAAATCAATAATACTTTAAAGGCCTGTAGTAGCCTACCCTTAACAAAAATAAAAAAAAACCATCGTTTGGACAATAGTACTACTATAGTATCAACATGCTTGGCATTGTCACTTGCGATTACAGTACAGAGTGAACTGATACGCTGCCGCTGGTCTGGGATAATTTTAATTGTATTTTTTTTCAAATTGACTTAATTAGACGGTAAACCATAAATGAAAATAAGGCAAATGACAACAATAATAACAACAAAAAAAAAGTAATTATTGAAATACTTTCAAAAAGCCTATCATAGTCCATAGTTATGGGTTTTTTTAAAATTTATATTTATTATTATTAGTTATTAGTCGCTAAGAATCAGCTATGGGCATGGGGCGATCCATAAATTAAATGACGTCATGCAAATTTTGCACATTTCAACCCCCTCTCTCCCCTCGCCACAAATAAGTTAGACCACCCCTCAAATATAACGTCACAAATCTCTGCACCCTCCCCCCACCTATAAAAAGTCCCTGTGTCCACTACTCAAGACTACTGTTCTTTACAAACCCTTGCCTTAAGTTTAAGAAATTCACCTCCCATGAACATGAAATTACTACACCTGTGTCAGAAACATTTCACTAGAACAGTGGTTCTTAACCAGGGGGATGTTTAAAACGGAGTTGGTCTGCAGCCCTGCAAAAGAATCCCTGCCCTAGAGCATTTACTAAGATCCCCCCCCCCCCCCCCCC